TCTTTTTGAGACAGGGTCTCTCTGTGCAGTTCCAGCTGGCATTGAACTCACTTTGTAGCCCAGACTGGCCTTGAACTCACAACAATCCTCCTACCTCAGCCTCCCAAGCCTGCAGCTTGCTTGTGTCCACTTTTTTTTTTTTTCGGTCTTTTTGAGACAACTGCATCTCCCTGTGCAGTTCAGGCTGGCCTTGAGCTCACTTTGTAGCCCAGGCTGGTCTTGAACTCCTGAGGATCCTCCTGCCTCAGCCTCCCAAGTGCTGGGATTACAGGCGTGCACCACCACGCCCGGCTGTTTCTTGTGTCCACTTTATTTGTGGCCAGCTGCGCTCCTGCCCTTCCGAGCTGAGGAGCGGCAGCAGGATGGTGGTGCGTCATGCCTGTGCAGTGCTTGTGTGGGGTTGGACTCCCGCTGGATTGTCAGGCCCCGGAGGACACAGGCCTGGCTAGTGGCTTGGATGCAGGGGCAGGTCGCCGAGGAGCTTGTGTTGCACAGATGGCCTGGTGATAATGCACAGGCAGGTCGGGACTGTGGGACTTGGGGGGCGCTCTGTATGCCCGTCCATGCTGCAGATTTGCTGCTTAAACACCGCTGTGTCCACAGCTCAGTGTTTGCCTTTGGCACACACTGAGCGGCTGATGAGATGTTGAAGAGAATTTTCAACTGATTAATGGTCAGTAGACTCATTCAGCCAGGTCACGCTGGCCAGAGCAGGGCGCATTCCTGCCGAGGGCTGGTGGGCTTGTCTCTCACACCCTGATTTGTTGTATTTAAAAGAACTGTGTAATAGAAAAGAGATGGACAGTCAAGCAAAGCTTGCAGTCTGCTTTTAAAACGCTCTCTCCCTTGTCTCCACGAGGGCCGTCTTGGTGGCCAGCCCTCCCTTCTTCTGGCTTTGCTGGCCAATTGCGACCCGCAGTTGGGCAGCCGAGGGTCGGGTTGGTGAAAAACAGCTTTCCAGAGGCGGTGGTGCTGGTGTCAGTCTTCATGCCGCTGGGAGATGTCAGCGCCTAGGCGGGTGTGGTGGGCAGCCCTTGCAGAGCTCTCATCGGGGGCTCGACATCTGTGGAATTTTGGCAGCCTGCTTTGCAGTAATCGATAATCTGTGACATTAAAGTGTTTGAGCACAGCAGACCCATTTTCTGCCTCAAATGTCCCACAACCTGGTGGGAGCAGGACACAGCTGGGGTTTGATGACACCTGTTCTTGCTGCAGTCACTTTGGGGTTGGTGGAAGGTTGTTATCTGTGGCCTGACGGATGGCTCAGATCTGATGACTGCACGGTCCCCAAGCCCATGGCCCCTTCCCGTCTCATCTGCCCCATTGGCAGGAAACTCAGAATGCCCCTTATTCGAGATTCTTGGTTTCTCTTATGTGAGAAAACCAAAATATAAATACAGAGAAAAATAAAAGACATAATAGGAAATAGCAGGATCTTTTCTTTTGAGGGGAGTACAAGGAATCGAACTCAGGACCTCATGCTTGCCAGGCAGGCGCTGTGCTACTGAACTAAATCCCTGGCCCCAAGATCTTTTGCATATTGGAAGAGGAACAAGAAATACAGGGGGGAAGAGAGAGGCAGGGGATTAGAGAAAGAATTAAGATGTGTTATGCTCGTGAGCCAGTTCCCCAAGAGGAATGTGATCATTATGTACTACAAACACGCACTAATAAAATAATACATTTTGAAAGGTTCTCAATACTGTATTCTTTCTTGTTTACTTGTCTTTCCGTTTTTGGCTTCTCTATTTTATCTACTATTAAGTGCTTTCAAAACATCTAATTGTGCCTCTGTTTTTATTGACAGCAACTCAGAATCATTTTGGTGAGGCACTGACGTAAACACGTAGAGGACAGTCCTTGCACACATCCGCGTTCGCCAGCATGGGCACCGTGCGGGTACACCAGGGAGAGCCAGGCACTGTCCCCCGATGTCTTCCCACCTGTCGTCCCTGCAACTGAGTCCCAATTGTTTCTTCCCCGGCCGTTTACTGAGCTCTCGGCTGCACCTCTGGGAACGCGCTCCCCTTGGGTACTAAGGAAGCTGCAGTCCGAATGCAGCCTGTATGTCAGGAGCTCTCAGATCACTGGGAGCGGAAGCTGGGCCTCTCGGCCTCCTCGGAGTGCTCTATGAGCTCCGCGGTGGAATCACAGTCACAGGGTCCTTTGAACAAAAGGCCTGGGTTGGCAGAGCCTGAAAAAGGCTAAATTTCCGGCTTGACAAAAAAAAATTCCATGTTTTGGAGAACCTTTGGGCAGGCGGGAAGAAAACGTAAGGATGAAAAGCCCTGTTTTGAGCCCTCCCTTACTTTCCGGGGCACTGGTGGTGGTGGGAATCAGCCTGTGATCGCCTTAAAGGGTGAGAGGCTTACCCTGCAGGAGAGGCAGTGAATCGGCCGCTCTGGGCAGCTGTGCTCCCGCCCCCCATCACAGAGTGCCCTGTCCCCTCACCCTCCCGGCTCACCCGGCTAAGCATCAGGGACAGGTTAGGGACAGCGGCCATGGGAGTGCGTTTTGCCCATGAGCGTGAGGATCACTGTCGGGCGGTGCTTTTCCCACTGGTGCCGATGCTTGGGCCACA